TCCATTAAAGGATAGTCTAAGCTGGCGCTTAGATAGGAATGATTTAACCCATGCTATTAAATTGCAAGGTAGCTGTAGCTGTTGTAGTATAGCAAGTAGCTGGTTTAGAGCGACGTGGTCAAAGGCGCCTTTAATGTCTAGGAATACTGTAGAGGTTGTGCGTTTTAGTTTTCTTTGCTCTTGGACCTGGTTTAGCAGCAGTATAGATGCGTCTATTGCGGATTTTTGTGCTCTTCCTCCTAGTTGTGAGGGGTGAAGAAGAGCTGTTGTTTCTGCAAGAGTTCCAAGGCGTTTTGCTACTACTCTTTCTGCAACCTTGCGGCTAGGGAAGAGAGTTTCTCTTAGTGCTAAGCATTTGCCTTGAAAAGATTCCTCTATTCCTCTTTGGCCTTAGATAGCAGGTATGTTCTGGCTATAGGTAGTTCTAGTATAAGTCATAGCTTTAAAGATAGATTTAGGGTCCTCTCTCTCTAAAAATTGGTTCTAATGGTCGCGTTTAGCTATTTTAACAGCCTGTAGATAGCTGTTTCTAGCTATTAGATATTCCCTTTTCCAGGTGTAGGCACTTGTTGGGCTAACAGCGAGTTCTCTCTGCAGCTGGCGTTGTTTGCTGAGCATGCTTGTCCTAAGTGCTTTTAGGTCTTGATTCCACTAGGGCTTGCTTTTTGCAGTGGTAGAGCATTGCGGAATTGCTGTCTTAGCTGCTTTAGTTATAGCTGTAGTAAGCTCTTTGCCTAGTTTTTCTAGCTGCTCTTCTAGGCCCTGGTCTTCTCCTTAGATAAGTGCTAGAGATCTGCTCGTAGAGGAGTTTAGAGTGCTTTTATTGCTAAGAGTAGAGCTGTTTGCTATCTCCTTTGCTAGCACTTTGCTAAATAAGTTCTAGTTTGCTTTCTTAGTGTTAAACCTAGGAGCAGGTTTGTTAAGTTGCTGTGTTCTAGGTGTTGTTATTGTAAATAAGATGCCTAGGTGGTTAGAACTAATTCCTCCTAGCGTTTGCTAGTCTTCTATAAGGTTTGCTAGCTGTGTTATAGCAAAGGTTAGGTCTAGGACACTCTCTCTATTCATGTTAGGCCTAAAGAAGGTGCCTGTACCAGGGTTGTTTAGTAGCTCTAGGTCTTGTTCTTCTAGCTAAGTAACAAAACTAGTTGCTCTTGGAGTTATAGTAGATACTATAGGGTCCCACCATAGGTGGTTGATATTGAAGTCGCCAAGCAGGATTGCTAAGGGCAAGATAGAGGTGCTAAGGAGCTTTCTCTCTATTGTAGTAATGCCTTGTGTGTCTAGCTAGTTGTAGACATTGTAAATAGAGAAGGTTGTTCTAGAGCTCTGAACTGTGATAGCTAGGAAGTTAGGATTAGGACTAGTGTCTGCTAATATAGTGACTTGCGCTTATATAGTGCGTGCATTGTAGACTAAAATACGTAGTCTTATGCTGTAGTCTTGTAACAAAGGAAGGATTTATATAAAGGAGGGGTAATTTATAGAGTATATGTCTAAGTAATATAAAGAAGATTGTCTAGCGGGAATAAGCCAAGGCTCTTATACTAGTACAAGGTCTATTACTAGTTCTACTACAAGTTGTAAGGCGCTCTCTATTGCTTGTGTGCTCTTGTTTAGATTTACTTGTAGGATCCTTAAGTTGTTTAGCATTCTAGGTTGGTTTGCGCGTTTAGTGTAGCTTTATAAGCTGCACATTGTGTGCTATCTGCAGTGTGTGCCTCTTTGCAGTTTATGCACAAAGGTAGAGTGTGTGCACAGGTCTTGCCTTTAGAATTGCACGTATTACACTTGTAGAGTGCTCTAGGGTGCTCCTTTGCACAGATTTTACAGGTAGTGCTATAGAGGCACCTAGTCTCTGTGTGGCCATAGCGCTGGCAGTTTTGGCATTGTGTAGAAGGGGGTGTAGCAATAAATCTTTCTGCTTTAATGCTAGTGCTAAGCAGGTATAGTCTGTTTCTAATAGCCTATTATGCTTCCTTCTCTGTACCAAATGCTACACAGACAGAGCCTAGTTGCTGTCTCTATCTTTTATCTCTACTTATTATCTAGAATAGGTGTCTAACAATAGTTAGGCCTCTATAAAAGGTAGTAATATCTGTCTTTAGCACCTGTAGGTCTTAGTTTGTTGTAAGAGATATAGGGATGTTGTGTAGGATTACTTTATGCTAGGGCTCTATAGGGAGGGCTTCCTTGTATGCAGTAATAGATTGCTAGATTACTTAATTTTTAAGTAGGTATTTTGCAGTAAAGGTAACGTACTCTATCACCGAGCTGGTCATATCACTAAACCAGTCAAAATCTCTTGGCGCGCCCAACTTATATTGCAGCAACTTGAATTACTTGCTATTAAACAGTGATATAGTGTACTGTGTGCTTTTATCAGATTTAGAATCTTCTTCTGTATCTTTCTAACACGTTTGAGCGTTGTGCCCTATGCCTCTACAGTTTCTACAGCGCTGTTAGGCTAACTAGGTCCTTTCTTAAGTACCTGCACCACAAGTCTTCTTTAATAGCTGAGCTGCTACAGACACCTCAGCAGCTACCCGTGATGCTGCTAGGCCATACTCAAGTGTGCCACCATGCTGAATTTGCTTTCACTTGCGCGACTTTCTCCTAGTCATGACTGCTAATTGCTCTTCAAGCTTAGTAATGTAAGCAGCTTGCAGCGCGTTTTGGTGCAGTATTAATTCACCACCTTTAATAAGCTGAGAGAAGCCAGCCTAGGCTGTAACTAGTGACTAAGTAAAGGAGTCATGTTCAAGCTTTAACTAAGACCTAAACTTGTGTGTATTGCTTAGAGTCCTTGACTGCCACAGTGTCTCTAGTAGAGGGGGTGCTAGTGGGGTATAGTGTCGCACCTTAAGGCAATCCAACACTACCTGCGCATTGGTAGGGACTAGCCCTGATGCCTTAAAGGCCTTCTAACAGTTAGCCTTTGTAAACACGTTAAGAAACGCGTCTCTAAAGGCTAGAAGGAAGCCTTCCTTGTTAATGTAGAAGACGCGTTAGCGTGCCAAGTCCTAGACGCGTTGGGAGTACTTGCGCTTCAACAGCGAGAAACAGACCATGTCAAGCAGCTAGAGGATGTGTGACGAGTAAGCTAGTATACAGAGAGTAAGGATCTTGTTATCTAGGCAATAGTCCTTAAAATCCTGGTTAAGGTGGCTCTTATGGCTGTCTAAGATAAGTAGCCTGTATCCCCCTACCTAACGCGCTCTTGTATGCGCGTCAAAATGCTTCAACTACTTAAGGCCAAGCGCGTTGTTTGTCCAGCTGTTCTCAGAGACAGAGAGCTTCTAATTGTGTGGTATATCTGTCTCCTTGTACCAGGCAGAGATGTGGATGCGTCCTTTGTAGATGATGAAAGGCGGGGTCGCATATCCAGCAGCGCAGATGCTCTGTATAACTGTAACCCACTCCCAATCGCCTAGCTAAACAAGCTCAGGTCGAGCGCGTCTCTTAGCGCCTGTGATAACCTTTATTAACCCTATCACGCCTATCTAGAACCTAGTCTTATTAAAGTTGTGCACGTCATTGTTGTAGATGCTATACTTAGCCTTAGTACCCTCTACTAGCATAAACTACGTGTTAATTACCTTAGGATCTTCCTGTAGTATCCTCTGTCTATCCTTTGCTTAGTTAAACGCTATCTTAAGCTAATCTAAACGCGTTACAAATCTTATAGCCTAGAGTTTACTAATAGGCTCCCTACCACGCACACCTAACAGTTTATTAGCTATATCTGCCACCTTACACAGCTAAGGCGCAAATCCTTGCGAATTAAGGTCAAGGATATATCAGACAATTGTCTGCTCTTCAGTTGCAGTAAGCTTCTAGCAGTTTGCGCGTACGTTGAGTTGAAATAGAGTATTGCTAGCGCGTTCAGAGAGCCTGCGTTGGTTAACGTTGAATGCAGCAGCAGCAGCCCGATGGCTCTGAAACTGTCTGGTATTGTAGGCCTGGAGAGCAAGCTGCAGTCTCCCTTCGTGTTGAAGCAATAGGTCGTGATGTTGTTGAGACATACTGTAAAGTGCGGAGTTGTGTTAGTCTTGGCAGATTTTGACTAGTTTAGTGATATGACCAGCTCGGTGATAGAGTACGTTAGGTGTAGTAGTAAGCACAATATTCTTTCCTAGGCTTAGCGTAGTAGAGGCAATAATAGGTAATTTTACTTCTTTCTCTGCAAAGGCTAAGTTAAAGGCGTTGCGTATTTTAAGAGGAGCAAAAGCTAGAGGTTCTTATTCTTGTGTAAGAACTAGCTAGCAAGTACTAAGAGAGTTCTTTGTAGGGGTAGTAGTAGTTTTACTCTTAGTAACCTTTAACTACTCTGTTTCCTTAGGTAAGTTGCTTACAGCTGCAGTGGCGTAGGAAGTAGGTAGAGAGGTAGTCTGTGTTCTTGTTATTGTAGAAGAGCTAGGCTAGGTAGAAGAAGTAGCAGTAGTAGAAGAGAGTGGCTTTTGCAAAAGTCTAACTCTTGCTTTAATTATTTTAGACACTGCTTCTAGGTTTAAGACTTAAGAGGCTAGGATAGAGAGGCCTTACCTATTTAGTCTATTGTTTTCTGTGTAGTCTCTAAAGATTTCTAAGAGGTCTAGGATATTAGATTATTCTTTGCTAGAGGTAGCAAGAGAGGAGGCTTAAATAACTATTATTCTAGCAATAGATAGTGCCTTTTCTACTGTCTTAGCAATAGGTGCCTAGGTAATAGGTCTAGTGGCAGCGTTGGATTAGAAAGGTGGGAGTCTAGGCATAGGGGGGGTAGCAGGTCTGCTAGCAGGTCGTTTAGAAGAGGCAGTAGGCCTTGGCAAGGTAGAGCTCAGAGGTATAGCTGTAGATGGAGGCAGAGGCGTCAATGGATGCTGAGGTAGAGGCATAGGAGTAGGTGTAGGCAGGTACATCTCTCCTAGAGGATCAGGGGAGCTAGGAGTGCTTAGGTCCATTGTCTCCCTGTCTAGAGATTGCTCTCTATTAGTTAGAGGTTCTGGTTCTATTGTCCTAGGTCCTAGGTCCTAGGTGTGGGTGTCCTTCTCTTTTATAAAGAAATAACTAAGAAGTGACTAGAGGAGAGCTTATTTTTGCACAGGCAGAGGTACCTAATCTCTGTCTGCTTTTCAGAGCTAAAAAAAAAAGGTAAAAAGGCTGTCTTAGTTTTACTATTCTTGCCTTATACTCCATTCTTACTGGCCTAACAAGTAGACCTCTAGGAATAGAGAGTAGGGTTAGAAAGCAGAAAACTAAGTAAAGGCTTATTGCTGTCTGTTGTGTAGCTAGGCTGTTTTTTTTTAGGATTTTAGTGTTCTTGTAGATAAGATCTTTAATAAGATAAGATTTTCTAATAAGGGTGGGTAGTCTGTGCGTTAAAAATTTGAAAGTTTGAACAGGAGGGCGGCACTCTTGCACCGGGCAGCGCGAGGCAACCAGGCGCCTAGAGGCTCTAGGAATTTCAGGGTAGTATATCCCAGTTCAGTTGAGATGGGCGCGCGCAAGAAGAGAGATATCTGGACAATTTGTGTTTTGGTGTTGTGTCGACTCACACAGGACGTTAAACCAATCAATCAATCAATCAACTGTTACAGCGCGTGGACAGTAAGAGTCGCGTCTTGTTTAAGAGTCTGGATAGCAAGCTGTATATCTAATTCCTTTAAGACGCTTTAAGCCCTATTGCGTTGAGACACCGCGGGTTGTATGAAATTTGGTGTGGTCTTGGCAAAATCCAGTCACTCGCCCGGGCCGGCCACTCGCCTGTGAGGTACGTTATCTTTTTGGATGAACAGCCACTTGTGCCAGTCGTCAGCTCAATCAAGGACGACTGTCACTCAGATGACTGCAGGGCCTGACTTAGTAGTCATTGTTGTTTATGTATTGGTGGGTTACTGGCTCCGCACAGTATGATTAATTGTGATGTTAATCGTGATCTTAATCGTGGGTACTAATTAGTAGGCCAACAGCTCTGTACAGTATGATCAATTTTTTATCTCGATCGTAGGTGCCAATCGGTTGTTGTGAGTGAGCGAACTAACTAGTTGCAATTTGGGCTCATAACTGTCGCGGAGCAAAATGTCAACCTTTTACTCCCTTGAGCAAGTTCGTCTTAACTATGACAGACTATATCCTGTTGTTCTTATCATCCCAGTGTAACGACTATGCACGAACTTAACACGTGGCATAGCGCTTATTGCAGCTAGAGGCAAAGGTAGCTGGCTAGCACTACAACTGTCTGTGTATATTATACTACGCAACGAATACTTGCTTAAGCATTCTTGTGCTTACCTTTTGGTAGAAGCAGAGAAGTCAGGTGGTATTGATTTCGAGGGCAGGGCGCCTACTCTGTTACATCCAGCACTCCTATATGCCTTGTAGCGGATTCCCACCTGCTCCGGATCTCTCTCCCCTTGCCTGCGTCGTTACAGTAGTGGCATTATGTTAGAGGGTCGAGTTTTGGTGGGGTCTTGGCAGATTGGGCGACTTACCTGTCTAGGCGACTCACTCGTGAGGTGCGTTACCCTTTACCGTGCCGGAGCTCGTGCCGCACGGTTCCGCGTTCCGCACGCGATCACCAAAACAACGAAATATCCTCAACACTACAACTCAACAACGCGATGACTTTAGAAGACGCACTTAAAGACACACGCGCAGCTAATGCGCGCGGTGAACTTTGCTACCAAAAAATTGCAGATACACATGGTGTTGATCGTTCGACGTTGTCGCGATATCACCAAGGCGTTCGCGGCACCATGCAACAGAAGATCGAACAACAACAGAACCTCACCCCCTACGAAGAGCTAGAGCTTGTCGATTACATAGATCAACTCTGCAGAGAGCACCTTCCGCCTACGCGCGATATGGTTCAACATTTCGCCTCTATTA